TGTTATTCCTCTGTACCCTATAAATTCACGCCATATCCCACCCTTCAAACCGAAACACAGCCACGCAAACACAACTGCTTCACGGTTGAAACACGAATGGGACAGAGGTGGCGAAGCAAACGACTTTTGTACAAAGTCTCCCTCTGGTGAATTACGATTATTGGAAATATGTAAATTCAATTTTCTTAATGCCATCTTTTTTTACTCGACACATATAATTTCATATTCCTAATGCTTGTCTCCGTGTTGACACTTGCGGTTTTCTCATGCGAATGTAATTTAATATGTAAGCATTTGTCTGTCTCGTCACTATAGAATTGGTAATTTTATTATGACGCATTATGGTGTCTTTATTTTTTACTATATTATTTACGTCACTAAAATGTATATACATTTTAAAAAAATCTAAAAAAAAAATTATTCCGTTATTCTATCTTTTAGTAATAATGACGTTTTATGACCATGTTATATTATTATTATTATATTTCCTTATTAACCAATATAACAATTTTCGTCACACATTGGCAAGTCAATATTTACATTATAATTTTGAAATTAATAAAGTAAATAATAACAATAATAATAACGTTTGAATTATAAAATAAAAATAACTAAATAAAAAGGATGTTGTTCAAAATATGTCTTTATTTTATTTTGTTGTATATTGTTTATTAAATATTGTGTCATTCATTTTTAATCTATGGTACAGTGGCAGCTTTATCTTATTTATCTGTGTTTTTGTTATGCATTACTCTGTGCATTTTTAGTCTTAAGAAATTTTGTACTTTGAAATCTGTTGTTCGTTTTTTGTGTGTTACTGTAATAAAGTATTTCGTATGTGATTTTAAAGATTTATTCAAGAAAAATAACATATTTTTAAATTTATTTCTCGGCGTAGAATAGGCCATCCCTTCCTTTCCCGTATGTGTGGTTAGAGGCGACTAAGAGACGGCAGTGATGGGCAGCAGCGTCCCTCTTAAAATGTCTCTAAAGCGTAACTGCGGTTGCCAATCCGCCTGCCAAGCGTAGCAACTACTGGTAAAACCCCACAAGGGGGAGGTGATGATGATGATCTGTCTATTGTGTAGAACACGGTTTATTTAATTCTTCATATTTTCTAATAATAATATTTTTGTTAACCGATAAACACTTTCTTTTTTCTTCTCCTTCTTCTATTTATATGCCTTTTCCCGTTTGTTTCACGTCCGGTAAAATTTCATCTAAATCAATAATAACCATTTATGGTGCCTATAACTTTTCCCTTTATTGGAGTTTCAATAAAATTGTTCAGAAATAAATTTAATTTTCTTTAAAAAAATATATTATATTAATATGTTTTCCTCCATTTCCACTATTTTTAACTAATCACCACTATTTTTTTTAATAGGTGAAATATGAATGGTAACCCCGCCTGCGCTAACGGGATACGCTGACGGAGCACCAGTGAAGGGTGATAGATGAGAATGAAAATAGGCCAGTTAGTCCATCATGATGAATTCATAAGGAATTAACCACGACAGTTTCCAGGGGGAACCGCGAGTAGGTCGACCTGGTTGGGTATATTGCTAGCAATGGGATTCTCAGTCTCCATCACTGACAATCCCTTTCCGCACAATCACAACTATTAGCTATTTTTTTTTTCTGTCTAAATCACATAATTTTACTGAACTAGGTATTATTTTGCACCTCTAAACAAGACGACTTCTGACAAAGGCCTCATTTAGAGATGAAACAGGCATCGTGCAGCAAAACATGCGTGGTCGGAATGGCGGTCGGAGTTTGATGGCTAATATAGACGGTTGTAGAATTTACAGTAATAATAATAGCAGTTAATCTTCCATTGTTGGTAGTCGCACGCTTACTAATGGTAGCGGAATTAAACAAAATATTTCTAATCAACTAACTAAAATTACGTTGGTAATACACAGACTCTAACATATAACATCTCATGTTTCACACATTAATCTTTTGCTCCCTTTACAAATGATTCACATAGACCAGTGGTTTTCAATCTTTTTCATGGCGCGACCCCATTAGTGTGTATAAATATTTTGCGACCCCCTACCCTCTGTAGTTCCTACTTGTATTTTATTGTATTACAAATATTAAATCTATATATTTATATTCATAGTTATATATTGAATAAGTACAGTAAAAAAAAATATTTATTTATTTGCTTTATATTACATTTATGACATACAAATGGCGATCTTATCCCTAAAGTAATTTCTTCCTGTCAATCTTTAGGTAGAGGAGAAAAGAGAAGGAAACCTATCTAAAAGATATTGTAAATAGCAGGATGCAGTAATAAAACATATATGTATTTGTGATATAAAACAATAAGTTTAGTGGAAAAATACAAGACATGTCTTATAAAAATCTGATACAGAACAAACTTAAAAATTATACATTGTTCTAAAAGAACAGACATCGATTATTTTGCGAAACTATTGATTTTTTTAATGACTTCACGTCATTCCGCTACCCACTTGTAAAGGCTTGGGGACCCCCCAGGGGGTCGCGACACACACTTTGAAAAACACTGACATAGACGTAACGCGATGCTGTAAAATATAGCCCTCTGATTAAACACGACTTTCTGTCCGTCTGACATTGCTACGCAGCCAAATCCTTCACAAATAATTTCTCTGTATTGGCTACAGTTTCTAATATTCGCTTTTTCGTTAATTTATTAATCTGCCATTTTTCGTTTTCCTTTAGTATCGAATCTTCAAATAGATAATATTTATTTGTGTAATATTTATATTGATTTATAATTTATGTAAATATTTATTTTAACTTCTGTTTAGCACTACTACTGCCCACTCACTACTTCCTATGCCACTGCGTTAGGTTGACTGGAAGAAATCTCTTTTAGAGATAAGTTCGCGTTTGCTAACGTTGTTATTAACTTACTGTTGTTACTGTATGTTTTAGTGCAATAAAGTATATGTGCACATATATATTTTAATAAATACAACAATAGGTAACATATGTATTTACTCAGTCAAAATTAATTCTATTTTTAATTTAAAATTATACCACAGTAATATATTTTCATCAATAATTTTAATTAACCACATTCCGTTGTAAGAATGCTGAATCTCATATGCCAATTGGCGGAAATCATCTGTGACGGGATTTAGCATTCTACATGTAAAATGTTTTTAAAACATATTCTATAAGCTGTATTATGTATAAATGCGAATTACATTTATAGATAGATAGATATATACTTTATTTTCATTATTTACAGCACACAAATAATAACAAATATGAATACATACGCAAAAGAAATAAAAAAATACATATACCAAAAAAAGGAAAACATATAAAAGAAATAACATATTTTTTCATTTCGTGAGTGTGCCACAATAACACAAAATGGTCACAACTCCGTTTATTGCTTTGCCCTCAAAAGAGCAGAACTGATATTCTGTTGTAGCCAAAAGCCAGCCGCGAGATTCCATGACAAAAAAATTAATAAATAAACGAATAAAACTAATTGTGTTTCTATTATAATTATTGTTATGTATTTATTAGAGATGTCTAATGACAGTTGATATTTGGCGTAATGAGGGTAAAAGATAAATAAATCAGTTTTGCTTATAATCTCAACTTGGATGTATTCTTTATTGGCGACGAAGTAAATAAAAATTGTTTATTGTGAAAATGGCAGCAACTGTTTCAAATATTGTGTTTCCTGGACAATTCAACCCAAAGACTGATAAGTGGTGTGATTATAAGGAACAGTTAATGTGCGCGCTCGACGCGGCGGGCGTCGGTGAGGATAACCTCAATAGGGGCCGATCACTGTTCCTTTCTCAATGTGGAAAAGACACTTTTGCATTAATTGCATCGCTTTTAGTATCCAAAAAGGCCTACAGAAGTACCTTTAGTGGAAATTTTGAGGGTTCTAGATAGGTTTTTCGAACCAGAAGTTAACGAAATTCTACAGGCGGGAAAATTTCACAAACGACAACAGTTACAGGGAGAAAGTGTACAGGACTATGTGGCGGCCATCAGCCAGCTCGGAGCTAAGTGCAATTTTATAGACTTGGAACGCCAGTTGAGAGACCGACTAGTGCTGGGGGTGCGGGATGATCGCTTACGACGCGACTTATTGAAAAAGAAGAAAATAACTTATGAAGTTGCACTACAAACATGTCTGGACTATCAAGTGACATTCCCTGATTTGTACCCTGCCAGTACGTCTAGCGAATCAAAGCAAACTCCGTTAAACGTCACCGATTGTGAACCTATGGACATTGGCATTGTAAAATCTAATGAATGTCGACGGTGTACACGCGGTCATAAGCCAGGCGAACGTTGTCCATTTTGGAAAGCAAAATGTTTCTATTGTAAGAAGTTTGGACACATCGCGGCGGCATGTGATAAAAAACTGGGCCGCATGCACCAGGTTAACGAGACGGGGGAATGTAGCAGAAGTGGTGATACGGCAGTAGAGGAAATGATGGGGATCTATGTTTGTACTGATAATTATACACCACCAATAACGGCAGAGGTCATAATAGACGGTGTATTATTAATGGAAGTAGACTCGGGGGCATCACGGACCATTATGTCGGAGGAGACATATAAGAAGCTCTGGTCGACACCTCCACCGTTAAGAGCCACTACTTTGAAGTTGGTGACGTGGACTAGAGACCCAATAAAAGTGTTGGGAGTAGCAAATGTGCGGGTTATATTAGCGAACAAGGAAGCACAGTGTGAACTTGTAGTAGTGTCAGGAAATGGTCCAAATCTGTTAGGCAGGAATTGGTTCCAAACACTAGGACTTCAAGTGTCTGGTTTGTGCTGGTCGGAAGAGGATATAATACTTTATAAAAGGGAATTTCCTGAATTATTTAAAGAAGGATGGGGAGTACAAGGGCCCTAAAGTATCGTTACACTTACGGAAAGACGCCACGCCGCGTTTCTTAAAGGCTCGCGCGGTACCATACCCACTCAAACAGAAAGTGATTGAAGAACTGAATAAGATGGTAATAGAGGGCGTGCTAACACCTATTCGATATTCGAAGTGGGCAACACCATTGACACCAGTGATGAAAGATGACGGGACAATACGGATGTGTGGCGATTATCGTGTGACAGTAAACACCGCGATAGATACAGACACGTACCCCCTTCCAACAGCAAATGAAGCGTTTGTAAGGTTGAGTGGGGGTAGAATATTCAGTAAATTAGATTTAAAGCAAGCGTATACACAGCTAAAAGTTGATGATGCGACTGCAATGCTGTTAACACTCAACACTCCAATTGGTTTAATGAGAATGAACCGTTTACCGTTCGGTGTCAATGCGGCGCCAGCTGTTTTTCAACGCCTGATGTCAACGGCGCTTGCAGGTATGGAGGGCGTCGCCTGTTTATTGGACGATGTGGCGGTAACGGGATCCACCATTGAAGAACACAATCACAGACTTAGAGAAGTGCTAAGTAAATTGCAAGAAATGGGATTTCGATTGAATGAAAAAAAGTGTGTTTTTGCGGCGAACAGCATTACGTTCTTAGGCCACATGATTGATGCGGAAGGCCTCCAACCTACGAAGGTAAAGGAAATTCAAGAAAAACCGGCTCCAACTAACAAAGAGACGTTGCGAGCCTTTTTGGGCTTATACAATTTCTATGAGAAATTTTTACCTGATAAGAGCACTATATTAGAGCCATTATATAGACTATTAGAATCAAAGAGACCCTGGAGCTGGGGAGAGAAAGAACAGAAAGCTTTCAATGAGGCAAAACGTTTATTGTCATCGGATCTCACATTGGTGGGATATGATTTACAAAAAGAATTGCTTCTCATCTGTGATTCTTCAGAATATGGAGTAGGAGCGATTATTGCCCATGTGATGAAAGACGGATCTGAAAGACCTGTAATGATGGCCTCGCGCACATTGCAAGCTCATGAGAGACGATACGGGCAAATTGATAAGGAGGCACTAGCAATTATATTTGGATTGACCAAATTTCACGAATTTTTAGCAGGTCGTAAATTTTGTATAGTTACAGATCACAAGCCACTGGTAGGGTTATTCAATCCTGCAAAGCCTATACCTGAACAGATTTCGCCTAGAATGTTACGTTGGTCACTTAAACTCGCTTGCTATGACTATAAACTAAAGTACAGACCTGGGAAACTAATTGGCAACGCGGATGCTTTAAGCAGATGGACCGCTACGGATACATCCAGTGTAAAGAAGGAAGTGTCTGGTGATCTGCTTCTGTTAGAAGAGCAGTTGAGCGGGTGGCAGCTAAATGCTGGCAAAATTGCTGAAGAAACTAAAAAGGATATGGTGCTGCAAAAAGTAATGTTCCATGTTTTACACGGCTGGCCACGCAAGAATACAGATTCAAGTTTACAAGCTTATTGGTCAAGAAGAGAAGCTCTTTCACATAATAATGACTGTTTATTGTGGTGTAACAGAGTAATAATACCGGCATCCTTGCAGGAAAAGGTTTTGAAGTTGTTACATGCTCCACACGCGGGCATGGTCCAGACGAAAGCGTATGCAAGAGGCTATGTATGGTGGGTAGACATGGATCGTCAAATTGAGAATATTGTAGCCGCCTGCCAACAGTGCCAATTAGTAAGAAATAAACCACCAAAGGACCCTCAATCTTGGATTGTTTCAGAGAAACCCTGGAGTCGTGTACATGTGGACTTTGCTGGACCCTTCCAGGGGAAAACATTTTTAGTTCTAGTAGATAGCTATAGCAAATGGTTTGAAGCCGAAATAGTACCAACGATGAATAGCGGGACAGTGATAACGGTGCTAAGGAAAATTTTTACTTCACAAGGACTGCCTGACGTACTAGTTTCAGATAATGGACGCGCATTTACCTCGGAAGAATTCAATAATTTCTTAAAAGAATGGAATTAAACATTTGTATTCCCCACCTTACCACCCAGAAACGAATGGGCAGATAGAACGTGCAATTCAAACATTTAAAAATAAAATGAAGAAACTTGAAAGCCAGAATATACAATGGCAACAAAAATTGTGTAAAGTTTTATATTATTTAAGGACAGTTCCTAATAGTTCCACTAACAAAACACCAGCGGAACTACTCAATGGGCGGAGATATAGAACGGCAGTGTCAGTCTTACACCCTGATTCGATGCCTAGCCGTACTGACCAGCAACGTGAAGTGGCGGCACAGCACCGGCCCACCCGTACCTTTGCAGTGAATCAACCAGTACTGATACACATGTACGGGCCAGGAGAAAAGTGGCGCAGAGCCACTGTGGAAACAATAGAGGGGCCAACGACTTACAGGGTGAAAACGGAAGATGGAGAGTTACATCGCCGCCATACTGACCAAATCTTGGCCAGACCATCAGACATGACATGTCGCCCATCTGAGTTAGACAGTCAACTCATGAAGGATTCAGATTCAGAATTGACACCGGATTCCCCCATATTGATTCCACCGCCTGATTTATGGCCAGATATTATAGGAATACCTAATTAGCATTTCATTATTGTGATTGTCAATTTTAAAATATTATTATGTATCTATTGATTTGTAAGATAGAATCATTGCTTTGTAAACCAATCAATATGAGAGAAAGGTATGTTATGTATTTATTAGAGATGTCTAATGACAGTTGATATTTGGCGTAATGAGGGTAAAAGATAAATAAATCAGTTTTGCTTATAATCTCAACTTGGATGTATTCTTTAATTATTATTATTTAATATTTTAATATAAATTAATAAATAAGAAATACAATTAGAAATAGGGTAGTCAGAGGTCACTTTCGATCACTTTCACTACATACCTATTTTTTTAATGAATGATAATGGTATGGTAATCCCAGTTGCGCTATCGGTAGACATTGGCGGGGCATCAGTGAGGGATGCTAAGAGAAAATGAAAGAGCAAGTCATTAGCCCATCGTGATGAATAAAACTGGAATTCAACCTATGATTTCCAAGGGGGAACACGTGGTCAATCTGACAGGGTATATTACTAGCTGTGGGACTAGTAGCCCGCATTACTAACAATTCCTTTTTGTCTAGCTTCTCTGTTTAAAAATTGTCACAATATTGTACACCGCTCTACCCGCTGACATTGATGCTCCTTTCCACTTTGAGTGTTGCTGGAGGAGAACTCTATTAGAGTTAAGCTCGCCTTTGTACATTTGATTACCTCTGTCATATTCTTATATATAACTAGTGTGTACAATAAAGAATTAAAATAAAAAAAAACCTTCCCCGTCCCACTACATACCTATTTTTTTTATAATGGATGATAATGGAATGGTAACCCCACCCGCGCTATCGGTATACACCGGCGGGGCACCAGTGAAAGTAGATAGGTTAGCATGAAGTAGGTCAGTTAGCCGATCGTGACGAATTCAACAAGAATTGTTCACGATGGTTTCCAGGGGGAACCACGTGGTGGTCGACCTAATAAGGCATATTGCTAGCAATGGGACTGTCAAACTCCATTGCTAACAATTCCTTTCCCCCTGCTACGTACCTATTAGGTATGCCAATTTTTTCATACATCAACTTAGATTGTATTTTGTGATTTCTCTAGAAAGAATCTATTTTACTAAAAATACATTTTCCCTGTCTCTTATGTTATAACTAACATAAAATATGATAAAATAACACGTGAAAACAATAAGCTCCATAATAAGGAGCAGATGTAACATTCACACAAACGTGAGAGATTTTTCTCTTATTATATTATGCCTAATAAAACATGGCGTACTTTGATAAAATCCCTTTTTCAATAATAACGGTATTATAGCCATGTTATATCCATAATTACCTAATTAAATTTTGAATATTGTTTCTTTATAATAATTGGATGTAATCCTCACAATGATTACGTGATTTTAATATATTTTCAATTCTAAAAATTATAAAAATCACATAATCATTGTGGGGATTATATCCAATTATATTTTTAATATATTTTCAATTGATGATAATATTATCATAAAATTAAATTTATGAAATGAGTGATCTAAAATGAAATCAGGAAAATATTTGTTTATTAATATTTATGGAGAAACAGAAGATGTTTATTTCTGAGCCCAGTTATTGGAAGGTATTTCAAAACATGGATACAAAATATGAGAATCATTAGACATGAAAATTTAATAAAATTCATTTATTTAGTAGTTTTTATGTTACTACTTGTGTTATGACTGGGATGGACTTTTATTATTATTATATATGTATATATATAATATTATAAAGAAGAAAAAATTGACTGTTTGTTTGTTTGTAATAGATAAAATTAAAAACTGCTCAGCTGAGATTAAAAATTCATTCACCAGTAAAATGCTACATTATCAGTGACTTACGTAGACTCTAATTAACTATTACAAGTTTGATTTTTTTTCACTTAGTAATTTATGTTTACAACTTTAAAGTACACGCTACGTAAATGTACAAACGGACATTAAAACCTCTTATAAGATGTTATAACCGAATTTAATGTAAATTTGTAAATGTGTATATAATCTCATATCTATCAAGTACCAGTAAACAACTAATGCACCTATATTCGCTCATTTTTTCTAAAAAAATTTCAATATTTTATTCTCTGCCGCCATCTCCGTTCAATAGATAGATATAATGTCATGTCTTTGTTTTCGTGAAAATGAGGAAACGTCAAAAAAATACAAGGTGCATTCTTGTAAGGAAGACAAATTTGAATTTAATGATCGCCTCAAAATAATGGACTCGTTTTGTGTTTGTGCTGATGAACGATTCATATTGCGCCACGTAAAATAAAACATCCACTTGAATCATGGTGATTTAGACTGATAAACTACGGAATATTTGATAGACTTTTTTTTATACCACTGAGGTGGCAAACAAGCATATGGTCCACCTGATGGTAAGCGGTTACCGTAGCCTATGAACGCCTGCAATACCAGAGGTATTACGTGCGCGTTGCCGACCCTGAAGAAACATCTTTACCCCCCTTTCAATGAACCCCATGCTTTAATCTCTTGGGAAAACTTCGACAGGGAGCTCATTCGTAGATTAAAAAAAATGTAATGACTTTTCAAAAGTGCTTCAATGTAAGTTTATTTGAATAAATGATTTCTATTCTATTCTATTCTATTCCATAACCTGAGTATTCGTGGGAGAAATCATAAAGTACAAAGAACACGTAAAGTTTAAAAATATTTGAATTAAGAATTGTCTTTTTTTTTTAATAGGTTTTTTATCATAAGAAATAGCTGATAATAGAATATTTTCTGTCAAAAAAAAAAAATAACGGTAGCTACAATCATAATTAAGTTAATAAATAATAAATATACAGAATAAATTCTTCTATTATTATAAATGTGAAAGTTGTGAGGATGGATCATCGTCATCATATCAGCCTTTATCTGTCCACTGCTGAACGTAAGCCTCCCCCTTGGAGGGTATTACCAGTAATTGCCACGCTTGGCAGGCGGATTGGCAACCGCAGTTAGGCATTGGAGATGTTTTAAGAAGGATGCTGCTGCTCAACCCTCGCCCTTCCTTAGTCACTTCTTACGACACCCACAAGAAAAGAACGGGTAGCTTTTTTTTTATACAACTTAGAATGGCAAACAAGCTGACGGCCCACCTGATGGAAAGTGGTAACCGTCGTCTATAGACATGAGCGGTACCTTGGACATAACAGAGTACACTGTTTCGCTCATGATACTCCCCATGCGTTGCCATTTCTGAGGACTCAGGTGTTATTCCTCTGTACCCAGTAAATTCACGCCAAATCCCACCCTTCAAACCGAAACACAGCCATGCAAACAACTGCTTTACGGTTGAAACACGAATGGGACAGAGGTACCCAAGCAATCGACTTTCGTACAAAGACTCCCTCTGGTAAGCCTATTCTATGCTGAGACGACACGATCATTGAGGGCAGTAAGAATGGACGGATATTTGTTATTCTTTCATACAAAAACTAATAGATTTTAATTAAATTTTACAGATAGGTTATATCCTAACTTAAAATATACAATACTTTATATAAAGATTCACGAGAGTAAAGCTGAAGGATACAGCTAGTTTATAGTTGGTACAGATTGACGAATTGGTAACCTCTTCCTCTCAGGAGTTTCACTTGAAAAACACCTTATTATTTTCCATCAGTCTGTCTGAGATTCTTTGAACAAATTACTATAACCCTGTACCTTTTAACTCCCATTTTATAATGGTTTACATTACATTGATTGACCCTTTTCATTTATCGTAATAAACGTTGCAATATAACCTTTCCTTCGCAATAAATCTGGAGTATGAACGTAAAAGCCAAGATAAACATTACGTGTTTGAATTCGTAACATTTCATATTTAAATTCATATTAGGTGAAAAGATTTTTTTCATTCATAGCAAAGAAACATCAAAGCTGTGTTGCTGAAGATGATTTTGTTATGTAAACATTTATTTCGTGTTATAAGATGATAGGCAAACACAGGTCTTTTTTGTAATGGGTGAAAATGGATTAGTAACCCCGCCCGCGCTATTGGTATACACCGACGAGGCACCAGTGAAAGATGATAGGTGAAAATGAATGTAAAAAATGAATGTGTGTGAAAAATAGTAGTAAGAGTATCAACCGTTTACTGTCCATTGCTGAACATAGCCTGCCCCATAAGGGGGATTTTGCCAGCAGTTGCCATGCTTGGCAGCCGGGTTGGCCAACGCAATTTGATTTTTGGTTATTTTTAAAAGGGATGCTGCTGCCTATCCCCCGACTAATGAAAAAATTAACTAATGGAATGATAACCCCGCTTGCGCGGGGGAAAAGGGTTTGTTAGTAATGGAGACTGAGAATCCCATTGCTAACAATATAGCCAACCAGGTCGACCTCCTCGCGGTTCGCCCTGGAAACTATCATGGTTAATTCCCGATGA